CGTGAAGGAGGGGGCTATGAGGTTGTGTGTTGGAGATGGTGAAGCGGATCATAACATGAGAATTGGGTGAAGGGTTGAGATTTTTTTTGTTGAGTTTTGGGTGGTGGTGGGAGGTGGTTGAAGAGAAAGGTATTGGTGTTGTTAGTGGGGGAGGGGTAAGAGAAGCAAAAGGGGAAAGTGAAAGGGGATGTGGTAATATGCAGGGTGATGTGGTAGAGAGATGGGAAGAAAGGTGTGCTCAGTTATGTTCGATATGCTATGTGGAGTCGTGGACTCCACGTAACCTTTAGGTGATGCTAAACATGATCGGTTATGAGGTTTGACATGTTCGAGTAGTATCAACCTATTTTGCCAAATATATAAAAAGTTCAACATGCAATTGTGTATTTTTTTCCTGTTCAACATGCGGTTCTAAAGCCGGTGCTTGTCCAATATTTTCACTTAATTAGCTCTATTGTTGTTGATCCCTATTCTTTTGCAGCATTCCCAATTTTATCCCCATCCTTTAATCCTTGCAATTGGGTTCCTAACTTTTACTTGTACTTCCAGTTTAGCCCTCTTTATTTATTCTGTCCAATTATCTGTTGTTTAAAATAAACATGTGCATGCCAACATTGACATAGGATCTACAATTGGTCTTCATAAAAACCATGAATTTTGTCTATTATGACCGTGGGAAGGCTACTCGGCTCATAATAATTTGGAACAGAGTAATTCATCTTTTGGATCTGACTTGCATGGTGATTGGCACATTAGAAATGAGGCCACTGGCAAGTTTTTTTTTTAACAAAGCTAATTTTAGATCACACGTCATGCATGTGTTAATTTTAAACAGAAACTTGAACAGAATAGTTAAGGACATAATTGAATTTAAAAGTAAAGGTTAGGGTCTTAGGGACCTCACTGTATAGATTTGATGGATGTGGCCCAAATTGGGAAGGGGGTAAAGGATATGGATAAGAAAAACAGAATTAACCCCTTTAATTACTACAGGTACTTGGTTGGGCTCAAGCATTGCCTAAATTTGCTGTTGGTCTTGTGAGCTATGTGCAAAGTTTTCTTGAGAGGGCATATGAAAGATGTTGAACTTCATACATGGAGGCAACTATATTCCTTTTATTCTTCCCTATGACCCTATCTAAAATTTTTCAAGGATTTATAATTCCAAATATTCTTTATTCTGTTATTGATAATATCTTCTTACGTTTAGCTCTTTTTGTACTGTTTGTACTAGCTTTTGGTTTGCCTTTCTTTAAATTATAATTAATCTATGAAGAGTTCAACTAGATCTCTAAGGTTTTTAAGTGCTAAGATTTGGCATGTAAGCAATTGACCATTTTGTGAATCCTTACATATTAAACCTACATTTAGTTTGTTATCAAGAGTAAGCACACTCTCTCCCTCTATTTTAATGATTGTTATCAAATTAAAGTATATTGTTCTTAGTCTTCCTACTCCAGTTTGATGACTTTCTTTACCGGGCTGAATTTTAGGCAGTTCTTGAAAAGCAAAGTTATATGCTTATTGGAAGATATGACATCAAAAATCGGATGCGACTTGATCCAGCTAGTACATACTTACCAACTTCAGTTCATTATCCGAACTCAGAAAATAATGCTTCTGATGCTAAAGAGGTTGAAAAGGGAATAAGCAATCTACTACTGAATCTGAGGCCTATCAAGAAGGTATGTATCCTCTGAGGGTCATTTCATGAAAATTAGTGTAGGCTTAGGACTCAAAATTCTATTATGGTCTTTGTAGATTTGTCCGCAATCCACTTTGACCGGTTAATCATACAACTATATATCTGGGAGGATTTATTCAAGGGGACGAGGGATATGGGATTGGTGCTATGGTTGTATTTTGAATCCTTTAGTTAATGTTGTTGTCATTTGTGATCCTGCCATTTCCTTATTTTCAGGAGAACCTGATTCGCGATGATAGCAAACTTGTTCTTTTGGCATCCTTGAGCGATTCATTGGAATTTGTTGCAGACTTTGTAGAAGGGTAAGTTATTATTACTTATTAGCCTCCATGGCACACTTTCTGAAACTTGAGTTGGTAAAACAGTTTATGTCATTGCATTTTACTCTAAATGGTGTTATGAAAGAACTTTAGAAGGAAAGTGAATGAAATGATGTTGAGACACTCACTCATCCACTCACCCTCCGGCCCCACCTCATTGTCCACACATGTATGCTGCTCGCTCTGTTCATATTTTCACATGGTTTCTGTGGATTGGGTGTACTATAAAATTAGAAATTTCATCAATGGTTAACGACTTTGTAAGCGCCTCATTTCGATATACAACAACAACAAAGCATTATTCGACTAGGTGGGGTCGGTTACATGGATCAAATGCCATTGCTCCCTATCATGCATCATATATACCGACGTGAGATCATTCACGCGAAGGTCCCCCTTGACCAATTCTTGCCAAGTCTTCTTAAGTGTATCTTTTCCTTTGCGACATGTCTATTCACCATTTGATCAACCCTTCACATCGGATGTTCTATTGGTCTTTTCTCCACATGTCTAAACCACTTAAGACGAGTTTCCTTAATCTTTTCTACAATGGGTGTCACTCCAACTTTACCTCTCATATCTTCATTCCTTATGTATGGGACAACACTGGGTAGGTTGTTGTTGCTGTTATCATTTCCTCACTTCTTCCAAATATAGATGGGGATAGCCGATGCAATTGTAGACCTTGTGGGCAGTGGAACAACTTCGAGAGAGAACAATCTAAAAGAGATTGTGGGTGGAGTCATCTCGCAAAGTCAGGTAATTTTTCAGCCTCTAATGCTAATCGGTTTTGCGTTCTGCAGTTCTGCTATTGTCAATGTGGAGTGTTTATTACACAAAAAGTTATTGATTGAGACTAAATTTACTGGGGAAGAGAAAAGGTTTTGAAAATTATGCATACACTATTGATAATATTTCATGTGTGTGAATGTCAGAAATAGATATTCATAGGCCATCACGTTTGGGTAACAAATGTTCCTGACTATCATTTGCAAAACCCTTCAAGTATACATAATACATTATATAGTGCAATGGCCCTTTGACCTCATTACTTTCCAAAGATTATTGCTCCCATTTTAAAACACTAGAACAATC